TATCTGAATCAGTGCAATTTTCATTTTCTTTGAAAAAAGCAAATAGGTCTATCCAAATTTCTGTGCATTCGCTAATTGTACAGGTATCTCGTTGAATCTTATCTAGGGCAATTGCTATTTGTTTTAACTTTGCTAAATAGTCCTGGGCATTTATGTTTAAATTTAAATCATTAATGTTTTCCGAGAAATAAATATCAATAGCAGCTCGGTTTTATGAACAAGTTTTTGATAATATGTGCCAGTCCTCTAGATAAGATTTAATAAAGTCAGCTAAAGTGTTCCATTTAACATCTTGTGGCATCACAAGAGCTTTTCGGCCAGATATTTTATATTTGCCTGCTGCGAAATGTACATTTCTAAAGTACTTTATTATTTTCTTTTATGTGTTATTTCATAGTGGGCACCTGAACATCTTGAGCAAATAAATTTAAAATGTGTGCAGAACTCCCATAAGTAAGTATATCAGCTAGACCTGCTCCATCGCATTTTGCTAGTTCTGCACGCATCTTAGCCATATTTGCAACATTATCTGTCACAACACTTCCGACAGTTCAAATATAATCTGTGTAACAACCCGTTATAGCCTCCACTGATAAATTTAACAAGTATTCAGAAGTATGACTTTTGTCGTCAGTGTCAACAGTGTCAATTAGATATACCTTACCTTCTTGAATATCTTTTACGGACACACACTTTGAATCATTTATAATATTGCTCCAACCATCAACAGACATGCATACTGATTTATTACCTAATTCTTTTTTTATTTCTACTTGTAAAGTGGTGTATACGTTACTAAGGAGTTCGTTTCCTACTTGCTGACGATTAGGTGGCCGATATCCTGGACGCAACATCTCCATTAACCGCTTAAACTCGGGGTGTTCCACTGCTCTAAAGGCACTGTTTGTGGCATAAACAAAACGTGCTACTTGGATATCAATTTTTTTCTTCTCGCTACATGTTGTTTTGACAACGAATGAATCTAGTCGCGATTTTATTTGGAAATCGTCTTTATCTCCTTGTCTTCTCGTCAATAGCGAAAAACTGTATGACGCTGGACTGGAAGCACTAATACGAGGGATGTCTTTTAAGTTTTGCATATGGAAATAAAACAACACGGTAGGCAGTTTTCAATGATTTTATTGTTTTTCGAAGTATCCTCCACGAAGATTAATACACATCTGCATGCGCTCGAACCAATTTTCGAAGCACTTACTCCACTCGTTTGCTGGCAGATCCAAAACGGCATTTTTGAATGCGTCAACTGCTTCTTCTGGTGACTGGAACCTTTGACCACGCAGTCTGTTTTTAATTTTCGGGAAAGTAAAGAAATCGTTAGGACTCAGATCGGGACTATATGGAGGATGGTCCAATAATTCCACGTTCTCTTCCGTTAAATACTGCCGTGTTTTTTGGGCTGTGTGCGAGCTTCCATTGTCTTGGTGGAGGATGATTCTTCTTTCAGGGTTTTCGCGAGCATCTTTTTCGAAACACTTCGAGAACGGATGACTTTTGTTGGCTTTTCTTCACCTTGGAACAGCCGACTGTCGTTTATGTTCTGGTTCATAACAGTAATTCCACGACTCATCACCACTAACAATGCTGTACACATTTTTTGAGTTTCCGGAATTGAAACGGTCAAGCGTTTTTTGACACCAATTAACCCTGGCTGCTTTCTGCTCCAACGAGAAACTAATTTTCTTACTCCTAATTCTTCATGTAAAATTTTTTGAATTGAGATCTTTGAGATCTTCAAGGACGCCTCAATCTCGCGATATGTCACATGTCTATCTTCATTGATGAGTTTGCGCACAGCATCGACGTTTTCCTGGGTGACTGCCGTTTTTGGTGCACCACCCTGTGATCGTCGCTAAGACTCACCCGTCCACGTTTGAATTCTCCATACCAACGGGAAATTGTCGACTGATGTGGCGCTTCGTTGCCGAAAACAGACAGTAACTCAGCAAGGCATTCTTGTTGCGATAATTGTCTCTGAAAGTTGTAATAAATTATGGCGCGAAAATGTTCTCGGTTGAGTTCCATTTTTCTAATGATTTGGTTACACTTAATATGCTTGCGCATTCTAGCCATCAGTGGCCTATATCCATATTGCAGGTTGAACATTTTGCTCTTTATTTATTTTCGAGCCAGCTTTGGCATCAGTCTCCTTAAAATATTTCCACACGGGATCCTTTCTCCTCCCTGTCATTGCCTTTCTTTTTTTGCCGATCTTTAATGCACAAAAAACAAAATACACCACCACGCTAGGACTTCGCACATTTGACTGCTGGAGACTGCAACGCGAAAAATTACCCAAAAGCAAACGGTACTTCCCCGACGTCAGTTTTTAAATTAGAGATGTGCTTTGATAGAGCTGAATCAAAAATAGTAATAACACTTTCAAGGAACTTCATTAACGTTGCTAGATTATATAGGCAATGGTTTTTTGATTTTTTGTTACTGTTTTAAACACGTATTTACGGTGTTTTCAGCAAAATTTGAATGTTTTACACAAAAAAAGTTTTAAACGAAAAAAAATGATTTTTGTGTTTTTTTAAAAACGTTTTTTTTTTTCAACCCTGACATTGACGTACCTCTTTATAGCAATCTAATTTTTACTTCCAACTGTAATATTGCAAACTTTAACTTGATTTTTGTTTTTTTTTGATACTCGAAGACTTGTTTTTAGTTTTAAAGCCTTGTTTTTATGGGAACTGTATTGATTATTATTTATTTATTTTTTTATTATTTATTATACGATACAATCCCTTATTATCACAATTTCTAAAATTTTGTTATAAACTCAACTAGGTTCGCAACGATTGAAGATAGGTATAAACTTAATTATACAAAAGTTACTAAAAACCTCATTGGGATCTAAAAATTGAAAAATGGGGGTTTTCATTTACAAATCTAAAGTGTAACGCGATATCTTATTTTTGGATCACCCTGTATTGTACGGCTATAGATGAAAAGACGTCCCACTAGAAATCAAAATTCACGCATCCGAGCGTTTTTCTCAAAATGTACCAGGAGAATCACAAATGGGAGTGCGACCTTTTTTGTTGGACCACCCTGTATTTTTGTGAGAAACGTTATTTCAATTTTCATATGAAAGACTTATGAAAATGCTTGAAGAACTCATATGAACCTTGAGAAGCATTAAACGACACTGCGTTAGTTAAAAAAATCACCTTCTAGTTTTTGAAATTTTTGAAATACAGTAGTGGACAAAAGTATATAGACAAACTAATATTGTGCTGTATTTCTTTTTTAACTTGTTTTATTAATACACCAACCTGTATACATAATTCGTTATTGCATAATACTCACTTATACATAAATAAATTCATTAGACTCCCTTCAATAAAAAATTAATTGAAAAAAAACTGGAACTATGAAGGACAAAAATATATAGACAAAGCAAAACAATTATAGAAAAAAGAAGCAAAGTTCATTGAATTATAGAACACCAACCATGTTTGTGTTAATATTTTGTAGCATAACCATTATTATCAATCACCGCCTGGCATCGTCTCGGCATAGACTGTAGAAGTTTCTTGATATAAGATTAACTTTTATCTGTGAAGGCCATTTGAGAACTGGTATTTTTTCATCCAGAAAGAATTTCTTTCCGAGATTTGAAGTGTGCTTCGGGTCATTATCTTGATGGAAGATTGATCTTAAGGGCATATTATCTACCATATAGGGTAACATGACATGCTTTAGTATGTCTGTGTATGCAAACTTATCCATAATGCCATCCATCCTATGTAAATGTTCAATCCCAAACACCGAAAAGCACCCCCAGACCATAACAGACCCGCCTCCATGTTTGACAGTGGGCAAAGTGTACTTGGGGCTCAATCTTTGTCCACTAGGACGTCTAACGTAATGAACACCATCTGATCCAAACATATTGAACTTGGATTCGCCACTGAAACATATCCTCTTCCAGTCACAGATGCTCCAATCAAGATGCAACCGTGCAAATTGTAATCGGTTCTTACGGTTTTTCCTCGAGATTAGCGGCTTCTTACGCGGGCGACGTGCAAATAACTTCAAATCATTTAATCTTCTATTTATAGTTTTCGTAGAAACAGTGACAATTCCTTTTGTCTCGATTTCGGCTTTTATTTGTCTTGGGGTTTTAAACGGATCTTTGGACGACACTACTTTTATTAATCTAACTGATCTAGCATTTAGTTTTCTAGGCCGACTACTTCTCTTAGAGGCTTCCAAGATACCTTTTTGTTTATATTTGTTCAATATTGCCCAAACTGCTTTACGCTTCAGCTTCAAATTTTGGCAATGTCGACTTGACGTTGACCATCTTTGTATAACTCAATGATCTTAGTTTTCACATCGAAATAAATTTCTGGACCACGCGGCATGGTCGTAAAATCACTCAACTTATTCCATAATACTTAATGAACACAAACTAATCCTCTTCTGACACGAAACTGTACTAAACTAATGTTGAAAAGAATTTGTTCAGTTTTTCTAGTAATAACGCATTTGTTTATGGAGCAATGAAGTATGAATTCGTTTTCGGTATTTAGGTAAATATTTATATTTGTCTATATACTTTTGTCCATTACTGTGCATAGCTCGAGGGTTGAAAACTTTTCACATTATTTCAGTCTGTATAAAAAATTATTGTTAACCGTATGAAACTAGAGAAGCGTTCAAATGTTACTGCACAATTGGAAGTTAATCATTTACCTAATTTTCGAAATATTTGCCTGGAAAGCTGATACATCGACAGTTTCTGCTGTATATGAACCAAAAAAGTGTTAAAATTATATATTATGTAAACTTTGGATCAATGCTTAGGTATGGACTTATTTTCTGGGGTAGTGGACGATTTGCGAAAAATTTCATTCCAACAGTCGCGCTAGTTCTACCTTATTTCAATACAGACTATCTACATCTTTCAGCTCGTTCCATCGTTTTAGTTTTTTTTTACTAAAGGAAATGCGTTGATGTATATTGTATGGATGTCTTTTTTTAAGAAATCGATACCCGATGACGATCACATTCAAAAGGAAGAAAACGTTTCGCCTGCCGGCGAAACCAGTAAACCTCAAATTGGACAGGACTTGCAGACTAAGCAAACTAAGAAAGTAAATGTTAGTATTGTGCTCCAAACAATCTTTTTTCTTTCAAAAATCATCTAGTGCTTCTTTACATATGTTTTTGGGTACTAAATTTTTTGTTTAGCGACTTAATTTTCTCATATTCACATACTCCTAAAACATAGAACTGATAGTGGATCGTTTTTAAGATACAGAGTGTCTATTTTTTTAAAATATCTATCGATTTCTCTTTAAAATCTCATTGATATCTCAGTTGCATTTATTGAAATTTGTCAAATCTTCACGTCTGCAGATGTTGCGTTGAAAACTTAGATCAAAATAAATGAGAAAAACGCCTGAACGGAAAAAATAACCGAGTTAAATCCTGCGACCTGGGTGGCCATGACAAATTGTGGTAATAATTTTTGTAGATAAAATTTGCGGCGATACTGTTTTGGAGCCTGAGATTGACTCAATTTTTAAGTTGATTGCATCTATCTTGTATTTTAAACCTGCATCAGCACTTTTCTTTTTATTTTATTATCTGATTGCTTTTTAAAAGCAAGGTTCGTAAAATTTAACAATCATGTACCATAATAATAACAATAATTGTAACAAGTATGTTTTACTATAGATTGGGAGCAGAAAAGTTTTGTGACCATACGCTCGTATAAAAATAGTAAGATAAATATTGAGAAATGGCTGAATTTTGGACAAAACTGCAAACCTTGGACTTTTAAAGACAAATCAAGTACTAGTCTAATCATATTAGACGAAACTACCGGTGGTTTGCGAAATAAAAGTCTGGTTTTATTGATTCACGTTGTTCAAGTGGGTATTTTAAACATGGACGCATAAAATGGGTACATCAATTTTTGCGGGAAAACTGTTTATTTGACTACAAAGAATGAGAAAATCCGTTTTTAGGGATTCAATCGAAAGTGTTAGCAGGAACGAAAACAAAAACCTAATAAGATTTTTATGAGGTCTACAAAATGAGACCACACGTAAAAAGATCCGACTAATAGTAAATAAGTTATGGCCGAAAACCGAGGCAAAATGGAGGTTTTGGCACTTGAAATTTTTCATATTCGTAGGCTTTATACTTCTAAATAACCACAACAAAGTTTATGGGTGAAGTAGTTTTTGAGTATTTCTAATTGTTTATCCCAAAACACCTGTCTTCCGGCCATCACTACTAGTTTACTGAGCAGTATACAGGATTCGTTCAAAGGGCATCTCATAGAAAAATGCACGAATTTACCTTGCCGACGTGGATTACAAACTACACCGAAACATAACTTATTTTTATGTGAAAAACGAAGGGTTGCGTTTTTTTCTTCTAAACAAATTCAAACATTTCGTCTATGTGAGTAAGTGAACTGATTCGCTGCGATATTCAGAAAACATAAGTTATTATACACATTTTAAAACAAAGCGGATGTGTCTATCACCTTTTGTTACGAAGAAAACATTTTTTTCAAGATTTCTTCATTCTCTTGTGTATACATTTTAGAGCTGAAATTTTTACACGGTCACAGATGAGCCTTTATAAAAAATATATTCCATACTCAAATGCACCGAACTGTATATAAAGGTAGCTCGCAAACTGAAGTCACGATTATGTTTCAAACTGTCTTAGACTAGCTACTATCTTGCTCAGTAAACTAGTAGTGATGGCAGGAAGACAGGTGTTTTGGGACAAACAATTAAAAATTCTCAAAAACTACTTGACCAATCGACTTCGATTTTGTTGTGGTTATGCAGAAGTATAAAGTCTACGGATTTGAAGAATTTCAAGTAACTGCGTGAAATTATCCTCGCATTAGCAAGTGCCAAAACCTGCATTTTGAGTCGGTTTTCGGTCATAACTTTTTTACTACTTAGTAGTCGGATCTTTTTACGCGTGGTCTCATTTTGCCGATAATTTCAATTGAATCCCAAAAACACGTTTTCTCATTCTTTGATGTCGAATAAAAAGTTTTCCCACAAAAATTGGTGTAGCCATTTTATACGTCCATGTCTAAAGTACCCCCTAAAATAACCTGCATCAATAAAACCCGACTTTACAATTATTTAGGAAAAATTTGCTAATATTAGACTATACTGAAATAAAAGGAAAATGTTAATGTAAGCTTAAAATGCATAGTTCTACTAACTTTCGGCAGTTCAAAAGACGGATTAACAAAATTTTCTTTGGATCTTCATAGCGGCCACTCCTAGCATTTAGGCTTCTGCCTGTGGTATAAAAAAAGGTTCTTACCTATTTATTTTCAAAGCTGAAAGACCCTGATCCTTTCAAAAAATTTTAACTAAATTGGCTGAAGAGAACTGTAGTAATAGTTTGACACTATATCTTGAAAACAAAAAATTATCTACCTATGTTTACATGGATTTTTTTACTTACGAGGGTTGTCTCAAAAATAAGGTTCCTAACATCGTATCTTTGCCGCGCGTGATGCTGAGTCTGGCAACAACGTCGTGTTTGTCGGCACCCCCACCACCGATCCCAACAAGAAGCGCCTATTTGCGATGCTTAGCACCGACTCGACAATGGGGCCCGTCATCGCCGTCACCGCCAGGTGTGAAATTCGTGTGGTCATCCGATTTTTGCACGCAAAAACGTTACCACCCACAGAAATTCATCGCCACTTGAGTGAAGTATACAGGGTGTTTCACAACTTATCCGATAAATTTGACCACATAAGCACTGTTACGAAAGAAGTTGATTTCTCAAAAAAAAAATGTCATAAAAGCCCTACAGAAATTAAGTTATAAACCTGAGTTTCAATAATAAATTGAAAAATAAATATCTTTATTTTGCGTTCATCGTCGTGATATTAGAACACGCATTGATAACTTATTGTAGCAAATGTTGTACCAAACAACTGACTAAAAGAAAATACAAGGATTTTTTTTCCATACTGATAAGAACGTGTAAGGTTTAATGGGTATCGTGGGTGATCTGAATGAAGAAAGGTCAATTTTTGTGAAGTTAAATAAGAAAGTATTTTGAGAGTTTATGTTTTTAGTTATTTATTAATAAAAATGGCACATGTATACACTAATAAGAAGTTAGAGGACATTGTTTTAGCGTACCGAGAAGCAGGGCAAAATTCGCGAGCGGCTTCTCGTTTACATGCACACCGATTTCCGAATAGGCCCATACCACATCACGAAACATTTAGTTCAATTGTTTTACGTGCACGTGCTAGTAGAGATTTGCGCCCCAGACGTGGAGTGGATGGGGGTCGGGTTCACCCACAATGCGTTTTAAATAAACCGCTAAGTAAGCATCTCTATAATATAAGACTAAAGGCCTATACATACTCAGCCGTGACTTGACAGTGCTGTGACCGGCACGTGATCCGCCCGGCGAAACTGAAAACATTCTTCCTTGAATTTGGATGAACTAATTCACACTAGACCGGCACGTGGAAGTGGCTGTGTTCTCAGTGCCCTAGACGACGCCGTACCGTGATCATAGCATTGTTTTGAAACTATATTTTTCGATTTTCACGGCCGTGTTTTTATGTAATTTCGTGAATATTGTGGTATAATTGGTCAAAAACATGAATGATGAAAAACTAATTGAATTTGTACGCGCACAACCCGTGCTGTAGAAACAGTCAAATTCAAAATACATGGACTTCCGTTTTCTTCTCGTTTCTTCTTCTTCTTCCGTAGGTGGTAGACGGTCTCTGACAGTCCAACGCGGAGGTACCACCCGGCAGATCTCCTAGGCGGGGCCAGAATGTGTGCATGTTGCATGCACACGTGTTCCCTCGCCAGTCCCTGTGGCGTCCCCTCTTTCCCCTGTGTTTCCCCCTATAGCACCACGGTACCCCATAGGTGTTTAGGCCTTAGACTTTCGTGGATATTGTCGAAGAAAAGCCGGCAATAAGCACAAGGCAGTTAGCCCAACAGGTCCCAGAAGTGTCACATGCAACAGCGTGGCGCATATTACATGACGCCCAACTGTACCCTTATCACGTCCAGACAGTCCAGGCGTTGCTACCTACAGACTACCTCCTAAGAGTAAGATTTTGACTAGTTGTTGCAAGAAAATGCTCGAAATGGCCTTTTTCCAGCTGATATTTTGGCGACCGATGTAGCCATTTTGACTCGTAATGGGATAACCAATCTTCATAATACACACGTTTGGTGCTTTGAGAATCCTCACACAGTGGTCCAGACACACTTCCAACATCGTTTTTCTTTAAACGTGTTGTTAGGTATTGTCGATAAACGTCTAATTGGACCGTTCATATTGCCAGATCGGATGAATGGTCACCAGTATTTGGAATTTCTTCGGAATGATTTGCCGGTCCTTCTTGAAGATGTGTCATTGGCGGACCGAGCACGGCTGTGGTTTCTGCACGATGGGGCACCTCCGCATTTTCGTTTAGAAGTTCGTGATTTTTTGAATCCAGATACGCTGGTTCACAAGGGGTGGACCAATTGCATGGCCTCCTCGGTCTCCCGATCTAAATTCTCTGGACTTCTTTTTATGGGGATACTTGAAAAGCGAGGCTTCAGGCACAGCAGTAACGAGGTGTATTTGAATTAGCGCGCCGAAATTGTATTAGACGCTTCCAAGCTTGCATTGCCGTCAATGGAAACAATTTTGAACAGCTTTTATAAGTAAGTGAACTGTTAAACTGTATTATTTTATTATCTCGATTTCTGTACGACTTTTATTACATTTTTTTTTGAGAAATCAACTTCTTTCGTAACAATGCATATGTGGTTAAAATTTGTCGGATAAGTTGTGAAAGTTGAAAGCGGAAGGCCGAGGAGGTTATGGAGAAGATTGATCAAATCTTGCTCGAAGGTCGGCGAATCACAATCCGGGAATAGGCGGTTGCAATTCCTGAGGCTTCTGAAAACGCTGAGACGGGCAATCCAAAATAGTCGTAGGGAAAAACTTACCAAAGCGTAAGACTGCACCGCAACGATGCGCATCCTCATGTCTCACAACAAACGAAGGACTTAATCGAGCGATTTGGCTGGTAAGTCATTGCCCATCCCCTGGCAGCCCTGACGTAGCGTTTCCGAAATTGAAGGAGCACCTAGGTGCTTTCTAAACGGGTTGGCGGCGGACTTCCTTGAGGCGGGAGTGCAAAAGTGAATTTCACGTCTAAAAAATGCGTAGAAAAAAATGGCAACTATGGAGAATAAAATCGACGTTTCCAATGGTGAATTCGTTTTTTCAAATTAAAAATTCTTTGTGATTGAAAAAAATGTGAGAACCTTATTTTTGAAACAACACTCGTAGAATCGCCTAAAAAGCTACATTTCGAAATTTACCCACCTACTTTAATAATTCCGACTATAATATTCACTGAATTGTTCGTACATACATTAGATTTAATGTTTCGTGTATCTTTTTCAAGATACCTACGCCTGGTGTGAAAAAACCTATACCTATACGAAAAGAAGAAAAAAAGGTTTCGCTCGATGATGGAGTCGATAAGACTAAGTCCGGACATGTTTTGACTGAACTAGCGGAATCTAAGAAAGCTCATGTTAGTATATTCCACAAAAGTTCTGATTTACTTCAATATTGGGTTACGCTGAATACTTAAATTTACTGCAAATTAAATTAGAATTTTCGTAATAATAATGAGCATTTGAATTTCCAATTTAACTAAACTACGAGCCCCTTCCCACTTCAGTTGGCCCACTTCAAGATTTGTACCAAAATATGCCTTTATAAACTAAACATAACGAAACTATTTACTTCTAAAACAATTTATTATTTTCTCAAAAACGTTTTAGATACACTCTAGTCGTAAAAAATACATATTTGAAATCACTTAGACCTATAACTAATAGAACATCTGAACAAATAAACAATGTGCGAATAAATGCGCGAAGTTAACAAAGCAACAATTGAAAGATTACCATTGGGTAACATCACCTTTATTTTTTATTACGGCTGAAATTCTTTGGATAATAGTGTTAACCACGTTTTGCCAAAATTTGGTGTAAAACAATCCCATATTTCTTGAAGCTTTTGTCTCAGTTCGGTGATTGTACGTGCAGGATGTTGTCGTAGAACCTTTTTCATCTCGTGCCACAAAGTTTCAATAGGTGACAAATCTGGACTGCTAGAAACACATTTCAAAAGTGATACATTATTTTCTTCCATCCATTTTATAGCATTTTTTGAGGTATGGCACGCTGCACCGTCTTGCTGAAACACAAAATCTTGGCCGGATATTAAACATTCTTCCATCACTGGTAAAAGCGATTCTTCTAAAATTGCCAAATATTTGTTTGTATCCACATTTCCATCAATAAAATGAAGTTTTCCTACTCCTGTTGATGACATACTGCCCCAGACCATAATGGATGCTGGAAATTTCACTTTTCTCTTCAAACAGTGCGACTGTCAGCAACACAAACTTCGAATCGGGCCTCATCACTCCATTGTATTGCACACCATTGTTTAGGTGTGCATTGTCTATGTTCTTTAGCCTATCTAAGCCGATTTTTCTTTTGCAGTGGAGTTAATAGTGGCTTTTCTTTGGCCTATAAACAAGTTGTGCAACTTTAGGCTTTTTACTACACTTTTTTTTATAAGAAAGTGCTAAATCCCAGTTTATGGGCCTCTCTATGAGTTGTGGACCTCGAAATTCTCCTTCCAAGAGCGTCACTCCACAGAGCACTTAATTGTAAATAATTGGCACGCCTGTTTTTCACGATTATTCTTCTTAATGCTCTTCGGTCAGCATTTGTGATATTACTTTTTTTCACATATCGTGGCTTAATATTAACTGAACCAGTTACGTTATATCTTCTAACAATATTTCTCACACTGTACCGCGATAAGTCTAACAGTTGCAATTTCTGAATTTGGTTTCCCAGAATCAAAAAATTTAAATATCAGTAACCGAATTTTCTCACTGATAGCCTTTCCTCTACCCATTTTGAAAACCTTAACTACCCAAAATTATTTTAAACGTATTCTTACAGCTGCGATTAATAAAAACAATTGTCATGGCTTTTATTTTTCACAGCCACCCTTGCGTTATAGACTTATTTTGCATTGAAATGAAAATAGGTTGATATGCTGTAATTGCAACATGTGTTATTTTTATGCTGCAAATTTGATTAGGGAGTGATAAAGTTGGTGTTTTCTACTATCTATTATCAAAATATTCATTGTTAATATTTTAAACCTATAACACCCTGCTACATTTTTATTACTTGTGTTTGATAAGAAAAAAACTAAGATTTCAATAGTTGGGCCAACTGAAGTGGGAAGGGGCTCGTATGATAAGCAACGAAGTTTATTTGGAGAGTATTAGATACAACTTGAAGGGTACAGGGGCAAAATATGGAATGTCACAAAGACCAAGTTTTGTGTAATTAACATTAACATTTTAATATTTGAGAGTAAATTACTTTTTTAATTATCAATTCATTCTACAAGTAGTTAATAGGAACTTAAGTTTACGTTATAAGGCTTAGTTTTAGGCACATGTAAAACTTATGCAGAGATAACTATACTAAGTGACATATAAATCCGAACACCCAGTTTAAATGGTTTTATTTTAATAAAATTTTGTATAAGTACTTAATGAAGCATAATAAGTTAATGATAAAAATTTCAAAATGATTGCACTGCTTTAAAGCCCTTTGACCTTTAATAATGTGTGGATGCACCCTGATGTGCTACGCATTATCCAACGCGCCTAGGCATGCTTCTGATCAGGTGGTCAATGTCCTCCTGTGGTATCTTATTCCAGGCAACCACCAACTCATCTCGAAGTGCTTCTAGAGTCTGAGGAGGACGTTGCAAATTGAGCAATCTCCTACCCATCATATCCCACACGTGCTCAATTGGGGATAAGTCGGGAGATCTTGGTGGCCATGGTGACAATGTGACATCATTATGTTGAAAGAAGTCTATTGTGACTCTTGCAACATGTGGTCGGGCATTATCTTGTTGGAAAGTTGGATCTGCCAGGGTGTCAAGATAGGGTAAAAGATGGGGTTCTAGAACTTCGTGGATATAACGCTGCGCGTTCACGATACCTCTGATGAAGATTAAAGGTGACCTGGAACCATAAGCTATAGCACCCCAAACCATAACTCCAACAGTGAGATGAACATGTCTTTAAACAAAAAACTGTGGATTCCTCCTTTCACCACGTCGCCCTCTAACCCTGGCACGACCATCGTGCATGCCTAAACAAAATCGAGACTCGTCACTAAAGACAATACTGTTCCATTCCTGATCCCAAAGTGACCGTTGTCTGCACCACTCAAGGCGATTACGTCGGTGTTCTCGAGTTAAAGGGAGGACCCAGTGTGGCCGGTATGAAAACAAGCCAAAACTTCTCATTCGTCGGTAAACACTTCGCATGCCAATAGGTCTTCCGTGTTCTGCAAACCATTCATTTGCAATGGACCTGGTAGTGGAGAAACGGTCCCTTAAGGCCAATAATCTTAGGCGGCGATCTTCACGGTCTGTTGTTCTACGGCGGCGTCCAGTGCCCCTTGCTCTTTGCGTACGGCCTTCTCGAAGCCATGCCTGACAACACCTAACCACAGTGTCTACACTTCTTTGCACTCTAACTGCAATTGCCCGAAAAGAAAGTCCAGCTTCCCGAAGTCCCACTATACGGCCCCTATCAAACTCACTAAGTTGACGAAATCGTACAGGTCTCCGAACTCTAGGCATCGTAACCGATCGTAAAGGATGTCAAGAACCAAAATCCGCCAACGTTGATTCTTTACTGCGGCTGAAATATTCATTTTTACAGCGTTAGTGAATTAAAAGAAAGCAGTATAAAAACGGGAATGTCCAACTGATAAGGCTGAAAAATTTTTCACTTGTTATTTACAGTAAGATAAATACATTCACCAACTTTTATTAAAATAAAACCATTTAAACTGGGTGTTCGGATTTATATGTCACTTAGTATAATTGTAAAAGTAATAAAAAATTAAAGTGATTTAATTATTTGAAGTATAAAAACAAGGAATGTCCATCACATCCAAAACAAAGAATCTTCGAAACTAATTAATGTGCTAATTATATATGAGTAATCCTATCAAAAAAGGCTTGAGCTCCAGCAGAACACAATTTTTTCAAGAAAATGACGTCCTCATACTTCTCTGCACTAATGGGTAGATAATCTTTGTAGGCAAAATCTGGTAATTCAAACTGATTGTTATATGAAGATTCGTGCAGGATCCTTCTTTGTGTACCGAGTATAGGTGAATGGATGATCTCTTATGCTCATTATTTTTCTTTGTGGCTGAATTGGAACAGAGCACTTTTCGAAGTACATATCTTGGAAAAAGTTAGTTTACTTCCTGATGATTTCATCCGTCCCCACTTCAATCACATCAAACGGTTTGGGCCTTTGGAGAATTATTTTAAGGGAAAAATTTAAATTAACCAATCCCATATTTTTGTCGCATTCTTAGTATGAATGGCCACGGATAGGATAAGTTACTTTTATCGAATCCAAAAGCTTCATTGTATGGACCACAAAATGAATAAACCTCACTACAGTATAGTTCCTGTTCTGTCCACCTGCCGAGTCGCAATATATTTCCAAATGATTCACGCGACCATCAAAGTAATTTGTCAAGTAGTGAAATAGAAATAAAACTATTTCATCTGAACCTATTTCAGGATAGGTGTAAAAGTAGGAGCTAACATCACTTAAGACATGTAAATTGAATGAGTACATTGACAACTGGCGTTTATAATACACATCATTAGTGGTGATGTTTGGTAGTGAGACATTTTTTTGATAGTCCATGGCAATAGCTTGAAATTCAGCTTCACTCCTGCTTTTGATTCTAGCATTTTTCTTCCGATCATAAAATGTTTGAGCCTTCTTCTTGTGTAAATTGTTCAGGATCGTTAAACGTTTCAGCTCATCATTATTTCCTTCCGCCATCAGTGCCTTGGCTTTTATTTGAAATTCATCACTACCGCTACAAGTATCGGTACGTGGGTAACCGAATGATATATTAAATATTTTTCTGCAGATTTGATAAGATACATTATTTTCAGGTTGTGGGCGTTGATCCCAATACATCTTGAAATTTTTTTTATTCGGGTCTTCAGATAAATATTCTTTTTTGGTAACATTCAAACTGTAGTGGCTTTGTCTTCCTTTGAATAATTTAATATTGTTATAAATCAGTTATTAAACATTAAGGTTTAACTTTTTGTGAGAGCCTGATTTGCCTCTTTTGTGACATGGCACATTGCCTGTTGATTTCAATGACTTTAGGAGGTGCTCAACTTTTTTTGCTAACTCCAAATATGGACAAAAAAGCCTTGTAGCAAACATCCATACTTACTGTTAATAAACCTAAAATCCTTATCTCATAAACAACGACGTGGTAATTTGTCGATTTTACCTAACCTCAAAATTAATTGTTTGGCGACTGACAGGTGGACATTCCTTCTTCTGTTACGTTGAGGGCATTTCCTGTTTTGTGCCTGCACTACGTTTTGAAACGTGCGTGAAATTATGGACTACACTGGTTTTTACACTTTTTGATTCATACCCAATGAAATTACACAGGAAAATGCAGATGTTGCCATCATTATCTCATTTTGCGACATTCCTTGTTTTGGCCCTGTATCCTTAGACAGTCTAAAGGGTGAATTTTATGTTATGTAATGCGACTTTATAGTACGGTGATATTAACAGTGAGACATATTGTTTAACTAACGTTGTTTCGCTGACACAATATGTATATTGTATATGCCTTTTTCAAGATACCGTCGCCTGATACGAAAGAACCAATCAAAGAGGAAAGAAAAGCTTCACCCAAAGATGGAATTGACAAGGTTAAGTCTGGAAAGGTTTCAGCTGAGCTATTGGAGACTAAAAAAACTCATGTTAGTAGTTCGTCAAGATGTTATATGTGTCTGGTTACATGGGCACCCGCAGGAATTTTTTTCAGGGGAGGCGATAAGACAAATTTTTTTGAAGCGTGCGTGGCATTTCTCAGAGGGGTTAAAATACGAGTACGATACACAAAGCTATGCCAGATCTTAAAATTTTATGGGGTCGCATGACTCCCCCTATTAGCCTCTCCCTCTGCGGGAGCCCAGGTTTGAATACCGAAATATATTTAGTCTTGCGTATTTTTTAAAATATTTTTTCTACGGTCCATAACAAATGAGTGTTGTCTATAGTCTAGGAAAGTGATTAGCCCTTCTACACCAAAACTGCCCTGCCACAACTTTTATTGGGCAACGATTATTTTTCACATATTTTACTTGCGGAGTAAACATTCATTACCTTTTTGGATTTGCAAATGCCAGTGACCATAGAATATCTTGCACTGACTGTGATGTATTTTTTACCAAGGTATGGTATTTATGTATGTGTTTTTTAAGATATCATCGCCGGATGAGGAAGAACCAATAAAAAAAGAAAATATTTCGCCCGAAAAGGAAATCAATAAAATAAAAATCGGGCATATATTGACTGAATTATTGGAGACTGAAAAAGTTTATGTTAGTGAATTATTGTCTATTATTAATGTAAGTAGATCAACTTTTTTATATTTTTATGTATATTGTGTAGTCTTGACCCATGATACTATAACTCGCGCATGCAGTCAGTCTTATCTATTTCGCGTGGTCAGCGTCACTCGGTGACAAAAATCTCCAGAGATGGTTGACAAACATACAGTTTTATATGACGCTTTACCGCGTAATTTGGGATTAGTTTAGTTAGCTAAATATAATTAAAAAACAGTGAATTAAACATTTAACTATGGTGTACTGTGCAGTGATGGGTAGTTCAACAAAAAGAAAAGCAAAGACGTTTCAAATTGGCGTTGATTCAGTTTTCCAAAGAACAAGTAATCAGTAATAGAAAAAATATAGGCTGAATATTTTTTTAGGCGTAAAATTTATTTTAAAATACGGACGTTAAATGGAGATATAAAAGGAAAATCTCGAAATACAAAGTATATTCATTAACACCTATACATAAAAAAGAATAAAAAACCAATTACACATAACATTTTATACAAAATTATAATCCTGCTCTCCATCCTTTTTCTGTATAGAAAGTTAATATAAGAAATTAATATAATATGTCACTGATGCACAAATGTATTATTTGAAACCAGTTTATGGTAAGACTATACTTCAGCGCATATCACAAATAGTTCATTTCTTACTTTAAAATGAAAGATTAGAATGTAACTTGCACGAAAATATCATTTTTTCTGTAAGGGACCCTCTGCTTGCTATTTTATAGAACTTCAAAGTTGCATTTTTGGTGGTAATACTCTAGAATGGAATACTGTTTTATACGCTTTTTTACTTTTTGCACAAAATTATGCTTTAAATTATAAGAATATAACATATACGTACACTGTATAGTAATAAGGAAAATAGATGTGAACCTGTAAAATATAGTTGTTTTTTGCAAAAAAAAGGTTCAAAATCAGCACATTAGCTTATTAGCTAAAATAACAGTTCAAAATACATACGTAAATGATGGTATTTTCTTGGTAAACTGTGTAGAGGTGTTGTGTTGTGATTTTTCAGTTTTCTTGAAATTCCTTAACCATTTTTTTCGCGTATTTTCAATGAGATAAAAGTTTTTGCGTTTATAAGAAATATATGAAAGTACAAACAATTCTGAATGGCCATTTTATAACGTTCATTTCTTGACAGATAAGATAAATGATTTCCATTGTTGCCAAGTTGTACCTTTTTTGGGAGAAATACGTGATAAAAAGTGAGGTTATTTGTAAAATAAAAGTCTTAATTTATTGAAAATGGCTTGTTTTATGAGAAGTTGACAGAATATTTACCAAAAAGTAGACGAAATTTTGAACAGTATGTGTCTAAACAGTGGAAAATTCACCAGCGGCTCGCGTGAAATAGAAAATACAAAAGGCACCAGCAGTCATTGCATATAAAAACAACATTATAGTTAAATGAAGATCAACGATCATTTCATCAAATTATCAAAAAACTTGCAATGTTCTTTGTTATGTTTTCATTATTTAGTGATTGGCAACAGCTACTTTTTCAGTTATTTCTCATATACATATATCACATTTAATTAGGTATACTTTATGACATCAGCTTCAGTTTGAATAATTCTTCAAGTAAATACATACAAAAAGTAAATATATTATAAATATAATATAGGAAAAACAATAGCCGAAGTACTTTTGTGAAGGGTATAAGGTATTCTTCAAAAAATTGTCTTTAGCTAACGCTATCGAAGGGCACAAGGTGGATTTAGTACAGTAAAACCTGCCGGCCACACCTCCAAATCGCAGTTTCATGACAATCCTGTGCCGATTGCACATTTTTGCGCTAGTATATAAGTAAGAATTTGACAAACCAAATTAGGGTATATAACTATCCATGATTTGGCAACATAGCACCTAGATGGAGAGAGTAGGATAGTGATGGTGGTGTAGTGATGGGAATATTCATCTGAAATAAAAGAAATTACTACTTAACAATGAACTATTTTCATCATTAAAATAATGCAAGATTGCATTATTGCGATGAACAGTGTCACAGTAATTTACATTGTATATTATATTTATAAAATTTTGAGCAATCTTTTGTGTAAACAATAAAAACAGTATTACCACACAAAATGCCACTTTGAAGTTCTATAAAATAGCAAGCAGAGGGTTCGTTAAAGAAAAAATGATATTTTCGTGCAAGTTACATCCTAATCTTTCATTTTAAAATAAGAAATGTAATATTTGCGATATGCGCTAAAGTATAGTTCAGCCCAATTTACTTCAATGAAAAAGTAACCCACTTTATTTGAAGCTCTACAGAAATTTTAGTTTGAAAATCATCTCCAATCATTAAGTCTTAAGTTATCTAGAACCTTTCAACTTGTCTATTGTTAATTTTTCAAAAGCGAAAATGTATTCTGCCTATAATGATATATTTCATTAAATTGTATCGTATTAACAAAACATCAAAATATAAATAAAACATAATACTAAAATTATCATACGAAGTCGATAACACAAAAAAATTTTAGGCAAATATTCTAAAGAAAGCTGCATCTTGATGGGCTTTTCCATACACAGCCCTATATTTGTACTTGACGATTCAACAATGAAATAAAAAATCTATAAAAATAGATTTTTTATTTCATTCAAATCTTGCGTGAATTTTTCAACACTGCCTATAATGATTAAAAAACTAAGTGTCGTTATTATTGAAAAAATCTTTCGGTCTATTATATGAGACTATGCTCTGTGGTGATAGTTCTCGATTAGTTATTTCAAGACAATATATGTATGTGTAATGACGCAACATGCATTTTCCTTTGGAAAAAGTTAAAAATGGGAACTACAAATTAGACCACCGTGTATATGCAGCTGGTAATGAGTAATTATATGAGATAATTTTAGGTGCAAATAATAGAAGAATCCAATTAATTGTGAGATTTTTTCTCAAGATTATTGTTAGTGGTTTCAGATTTTCCGCTTTTATTATTTCTGTGAAGTTATTATACGATGCTGGTGTAATACTGAGATTTCAGATTATTCATATAATTACGCACTAATTCAATTTAACAGGGGCGTTTAAACGCGTTATGTACAGGGTGTTACAGAATATGGTCATATAGTTAGGTACAAGATATAATAAATAACTGCAAGAGACACTTTTTTGCAAAACCAGTGTCGTACAATGCTTCAAAGACATTGAAACAAGAAATTTCTAGACCCATATTTGTACGAACCTTTTTCATAGCTTTACTTGCTGAATATGTCCATTTTCCTGTATATTTAAATGCTAGTTTATCAGATATTTGTTGTGTTTATTTCCAATGGCAAGGTTTGATATTGTAGGGATATAAAGTAGAAGCTCATCATGCCTCTACGCAACACATTTTACCTTATGACTTGGACCATAAATTGAATGTGATTTTTGGAAATCTCGAAGAAATTTACACCTTCCATTCCGAAGTTTTCCTGAGAGATTTGGAAAACTGTATTACTTCTTTGGAATTGGTGGCATTATGCTTTCTACAGAAGGTAAATACAAGAAAAGATTATGATTTATTACGTCTGGCATCGCACGTACGATAAAATGTACGCCATTTGTTAACGAATGTATAGTAGATCTGTAAAGTGTGAATTCCTATACAGGGTGTCCAAAATAAGGATCCTATATCATTATTTAACATCAAGTATTCATTTGCAACGCCTACTTGAAAAACACATTTTTCTCTATAACTAAGAAAACAACTGTAACATCGATGAATTCGTAGAAAAATATGCTATCAGATACAGGATGTACTTTTTTCGGATCATATAAAAAATTAAATTGGTTTCTCAAAAACAAAACGTCGGGCACAGAATTTAAAAACACCATCATGTAGCGCCTAAAAAGTACCCATGAAAAAGTTCCATTAGTTTTTTGATATGAAATAATATAAATTCGTCTCAAAGCACACGGTTTTTTTCCTAATTTATCCTAAGCTGTATCTCCCCATGCATAGAATCCTTATCTTGGACAAACTTTAAACCTTCAGTATTTCGTGGTAGGGTACGCCATCTATTACTTTTTTTTACCTATAAGTTGATGTGTTACCATGTGAGTCAAAAGTCACCTGGTATGCATAAATGAACTGTCAAAGGTATGCCATTTATAGTCATGGATTCGTTTAAAACACAACAACGCATTTTGGTTATCCAAACTTATTACGAAAACGGTCGAAATATAAAAAATACTTTTCGCAAACTTCGCACTAGTTTTGGCCAACATAGATGCCCTACAGAGCCTGGAATTCGGTGGATTGTTAATCGGTTCAGCTGAAGGTCCATACCAACATGCTCGTCCAGCTCGTACTCGTAAAAACATAGCCGCAGTGAGTGAAAGTTTGTGAGACGATCCAACCACCTCGACTAGGCACCGTTCGCAACAATTGGGAATTAATGAGACTACCTTACGCCGCATTTTACACATTGATTTACACCTCCATCCATACAAAATCCAACTAACACAAGAATTGAAGCCGACAGACCATCAAAAGCGGCGTGTTTTTGTTAATTGCATGCTGGAAAGAGAAGACGGATTTTCGGCCAAAGTGTTCTTTTCTGATGAGGCTCATTTTCACCTCACTGGGTACGTAAATAAGCAAAATTGCAGATTCTGGGGGGCTGAAAATCCACACCAATATCATGAACCATCCTGAAAAAGTGACTGTTTGGTGCGGATTATGAGCTGGTGGCATCGTTGGACCATGCTTCTTTAAAGATGCCGAAGAAAAGTCCATCAAGACGGAGCAACGGCTCACACATCTCGCCAAACAATCGCCTTATTGCGCACGAAATTTCAAGACCGCATAATTTCAAGAAATTCAGATGTCAGTTGGCCCCCGAGATTTAACACCTCTTGACTATTTTCTTTGGGGATTTTTGAAAGGAAAAGTGTATGCGAATGGTCCTAGGACAATTCAAGACCTAAAGCGCAGTATTCTGACTGAAATTGCGGCCATAGACCCGATTATTCTGGGAAAAGTCATTGAAAATTTCGATGTTCGGATGTAAACGAAGCCGCGGTGGTCACATGACTGATGTTATTTTTCATACATAAATGGCATAAACCATCCTTCATTTATCAATAAAAAAGTTCGATCTCACCTCGTAAAAAGCGTGTTGATTTTTCAAATAGAAAAAAGTAATAGATGACGCATCCATAAGGATTCATGCTCTCATCTCAGAGATAATTCATTTTCCAGAGGGACTCCTTTTTCAAATTATACAGCTTCTATTGCCAAAATATATCAAAGTCGGAAGAAATGCGCGAGAGCGCCGTAGAGCTACATAGCTTTTTCCAAAGCTGTCAACAAAAGCTTGGCCATAAACTTCCTTTGGCCGCATATCTCTTGAAGCCAGTTCAACGCATCACCAAATATCAACTACTCCTGAAAGACTTGCCCCGTTACTCTGGAGACGGCAAATCTTACAAAGAATCACAGCAAGCTCTAGACTGCATGTTGGTAGTTCTTAAATGTGTCAACGATAGTATGCATCAGATAGATATCACGGGCTTCCCAGGACCTTTGGATCAACAAGGAGAATTGCTTCTGCAAGGATCGCTTTCGGTCTGGATGGAAAGCAAGAGAGATTTGAGGTTGAGGCAAGTAAACACATTTTTTCGCTACTGACCGTAGATAGTACCATCATTGACACCAAAGACATTTAATTTATTTATTTATTTTATTAAATAATTGTCAAAAATACAAATACGAGTACATATTTATTTATACAGTATAATGTTACAAACGGTATGGTTTGCTTCTCGAAGTATCCGACATAGTTTTTAGTTTTCTCGACAGGCCTCTCGAACATTTCCTTTTACAGCTCCTTGTTTTTGGCTTTCTGATGAGGATCTGATTATTGCTGAGAAACGTACTGAATACTGGTTAAGAACGTTGTATGACGTCCTGCGTTTTTATTCTCATGAACCGTTGTCTTTCTTTCAACAAAGCTGTGGCTTCACGTTGGTTCAACACTAGCGTATGCCAACCAAGAGCGATTCGATCTTACAGCTAACAGTAAAGCTTCGTCGTTCAGATACCTGAGAATTAGGCACCAGATTTCCACTGGCAAAGCAGGTAGATAAGTCGCACCTAACAAGGCAGTATACGAAATATTTTGACTGATTATTTTCGACACTAATGATGAAATGAGTAAGTTTTGATTTAAGCGTAACATTGGCTCATGAACATTTTATTTATCAAATGCATATACAGTACAACGTTACAAACGGTATGGCTTGATCCTCAAAGAATCCGCCACGGTCTTTAGTTTTCTCGACACTTTCTTGACAGGCCTCTCGAACATTTCCTTGTGCAGCTCCTTGTTTTTGTAATAGTTATCTGGCTTTCTGATGACGATCTTCTGATTATTGCTGAGAAAAGTACTGGAGGAGACTGGTAAAGGACGTTGTATGACGTCCTGCGTCTTCATCCTCATGAACCGTTGTCTTTCTTCCAACAAAGCTGTGGTTATACGTTGGTTCAACACTGGATCTCCCTTGGCATATGTCAACCAAGAGCGATTTAATCTTACAGCTGACAGTAAAGCCTCGTCGTCTAGATACCTGAGAATCAGGCACCAGATTTCCACTGGTAAACCAGGCAGATAAGCAGCAGCTAACAAAGGCAGTATACGAAACATCTTGACTGATTATTACGGACACTAATGACAGGTCCTATCGAAATTAGACAATTTATACCTACCCTTGTTCATTCAAGCGTAACTTTGGCTCGTGAAGGTGACGTGGGCCAATCGCGTTTAGAGACGTCATCTATTCGTGACGCGCTCGACACGTCACGTGCTCACTCAACTGTTTCATGGGTTAGGTAGAGGACGTGAGGAAATTACAAGTAAAGCTACATATAACATTTTTGTGATATCGTGTTTTTGACACTGGTACACTCATGAGTCATATATAAATTTTTGATGGATCTTCGTTTATTACAACCTAACCTGAGCTCCTGTATAAAAGAACGGATTCTAAATAATACTTGCCTAAAATAATTAGCAAGGCAACGAAACATCGGACCACTATTTCCCTCATTTATTTTGGATCCAGGCACGCAGCACCAACTTGTCATAGTGAATCACCCTGAATACATCCAACAACAAGGCGATCCACTTCCGACGGGATATGACGGCCATCGACTGCCTGGGTAGTTATAGTACAGGAAGTATCTTCGCATCGGTTTAGAAAAATATTTTGATTTTTTTCGCATAATCTCATTAAAAGAAAAATAACTTTTAATCAGTAGGTTGCCAGACGTAAAACTGGGTCAAAAACTGTTTTTCTCTTTTATTAATCGTATAGTATTTTTCCAAGCAAAGGCGAAGATGTTTCCTGGACTATTACCGCGGGTGATGATTGCTGTTAAATCCAGTTTTCAATGGCGTCCTTCAGTTACTTGCATAGGGGAGGGTGAAAGATATATATTATTTCTCTGTTACAGGCTGAAACCAATGCAGCGACACCTATTTCTCTACAAAAAAACTTTGTTATTCTGTAAACCCAACGCGAAGGCCACTCACAATAAAGCTACGTATCAGTATAAGCACCATTTGAAAATGTCTCAGATTGGGCTGACTGAATCTGTCAAAGGAGACCCAAGGAAGTTCGAAGTGTGGTTGCAAGGAAGACAAGAGGTACATACTATCCAAGCTGCAAACGTCGACCAAAAAAATACTTGGGTGAACGAGATCAAAAAAGTTTTGTTTAATCAACTTGAAGAAATTAGAGGAGAGAAGATTAAACAGTACGCTTTGACCCATAAGTAAGTGGCTTAAATTATATGATATATATTTAACTTCTCACGCCAATTGACGAGGATGTATTGTAGAAACAAAATCGCGAAATGTCACTCATTTCCGTCTGTGTGCTACTCCTCAACCCCTTTATAGTTTGGAGGTTACCGCTCTGATTTTGATGAATTTTTTTTATGGCAATAATTATAAATTATTTCTGTTTTAATTGTAAGGTCATCATTACTCAGACAATGTCGTGTCATCTTCGTATGACCACACTCAGAATATACACTAGACAGGAATGCATCGAGATCGTTAGCATACAATAGAAACAGAAATGGCCCAAGGGCGGATCCTAGTGAGCACCCATATTTAAAACCTTCGTCTCGCTATTTATCTCATGAACAGAGACATACTGCTTTCGTCCATCAAGATATGACTGAGAAAGTTTTAGAAATCCATACATAGACAGTTTCAACAGCAACAGTTCTTGATCGACATAAACAAAAGCACGAGAAAGGTCTGTTGTTTTTTGTCAAAAACATTCACCAAAAATACCATACACAAAGACCCAGCGCTCGTAGTGACCAGTACGCTTACGATCCCATCTTCCAATTTAGTACTTGACATTTTTATTTTTTCATAGCAACCACAGTTCTAGGCCATTGCGGCAAACAACATCATGGGAAAAGCAGAAGCAACAGGTACCAGCGGCTCCAATCATAGACCGTCACAGAGCTCTGAGTTGTGATACTCAGCATACACATTCAGCAGAGGCTGAGACCCCGGATTACCAAGGAACCCAAAATTGGTCCTCAGATGATGATGATGACGAAGATCACCATGGATCTATGCCGGTGAGTGGCTTTTTTAATTTCTTTTTGCTTTTTGCATTTTCAATTTGACATAGCATGGTAATGGTTATTTATTTCTATCTATGAGATTCTCTCGCATTTCCACTAATATTAGCGCCTAAGAGTTATCCTTTTTTTATTTAGTTCGAATAATAAACTTATATAATAATAATGATAATATTTCCTATCCATCTTGACATGAAAGCATTAGTCAGAATGAAAAAAATACCTATAAGCTAATAAATAATATTGACGGCGTAAAATCATTTGTCGAGCAAAAAATGATTCAAGCGTTTTTTTCTAGGTCCTAAAACATTTGGTTACTTTCTAGAAGAATTATACTTCGCGAACGGTATACGAGGTTTGTTCAAAAAATATCGCGAATTTCATGCTTTTTCAAGAATTATTTATTTATTCATGAATATCTATTTTGTCCCCTTCAAAGTAATCCCCATCAGACATTCACTTGTGATAACGTTTTTTCCAAACCTCGAAGCATTTTGAAAAATCATTTTTTGTGATCTTGTTCAGTTGCTGTCTTTATCTCCTCAATCGTGGCGTAGCGTCGTCCTTTCATGGGCCTCTTCAGTTTCGAGAACAAGAAAAAGTCACAGGGGGCCAGGTCTGGGGAATACGGTGGGTCAGGCATTATTGGAGTGTTGTTTTTGGCCAAAAATTCGCGCACAAGTAACGATGCATGAGCAGGGCGTTATCATGGTGCAAATGCCAATTTTTGTTCTTCCACAAATCCGGGCGTTTCTGGCGGATTGCTTTTCGCAAAATGCGCATCACTTGAAGGTCATATTCCTTATTGGCCATTCTACCCTGCGTCGCTCACATCTTCTCGGCCCTCTGAGAACATTTTGTACCACCGATAAACGTTGCTTTTGTCCAAAGTAGCTTCGCCCTCTGCAACAGTCAACATTTGGAATATGTCCGCACACTTCAAGTTGTTTTTTTACAAAAAATTTAATACAAATTCTGTGATCCATTTTTTGGAATAGACAAAAATCGGAGACAAGCTAAAACACGTCCACGCACAATAGCTGTCAAACACTGACTGAACATTCAAAATGGTTGATATTGTCAACATTTGTGAAGGTCACGAGTACCAACATAACGCCATAAAAAGTTCGAAAATCGACCATAAGTAGCCCGCGAAAATTCAAAATTTACGATACTTTTTGAACAAACCTCGTATGCAGATGGGTGCTTTGCCCTAGTATTGTCTCCATGAATTTGGTTATCTAAACGTATATATGATTGCAATAAAGTGTTTCCAACTTTGGATATTTGTTATATAGTCCAGGATAATACTGCTTTTTTAAAGAGTAGCAGTGAGAAATGAAAAATGTTGATTCTTAAATCGAAATAAAATTAAGTTGAAACCTTTTGGTAATAATAATAATAGACGTCTTTATTTATCCACAATTACATTGTAGTATAGCCAAATGTCAGACTTACATGGCGAAGTTTAGCACTTAACCATATAGTCTCTAGCAGATGTTCAAAAGAATACACTATCCACAAACAGATTTGGTTCATTACATCGAAAGTAAAATTTAAAAAAAAGAGAAAAAGGCATACTTTCCAAACACAAATGCACCTAAAAATTATTAATCTGAATTAAAGATGGAATAAAAAAGAAATGAATGATTACGTAAATTATATGTTTGGAGGGTTGGGTAATAATGTTTTAACTTTTTTTCGAAAGACAGGTAATGAAAATTTTTTATATACGTTAGGAAGATCATTATAAATAATAGCAACATTGTAAGAAAAACTGCGTTTAAAAAGTGTAGACGTATGCAGGGGTATTCTAATATTACTTTCTCTGAGAGTTCTACAGTGAACATCATTATTAAATGAAATTTTTTCCTTCAAGTAATAAGGTTTAGACGTGAGCAGCAATTTGTGAACAAAAACTGAATAGTGATACTTGACCATGTCATTAATTTTTAACCAGTTTAGAACGGGATATTTCGCTGATACATGATCAAATTTACCTAAGCCAAAAATGAATCGTATACAATTGTTTTGAATAACTTGAATAACGTTTTTAGTGAAATTGTCTAAACAAGTATAATATACGATATTACAATAATTTAGTATAGATATGACCAATGCTTCACATAGTTTTTTACGCAACTTAAAATTTAATACCTGTTTGCTATAAGAGTGCGCAGCCGTAGGAAGGTTTTCTGAGATAGACTTTTAACATGTTCAATAAACCTTTATTATTTTTTTAGAATTTGGTATTAAAAAAAGGGTATCTCTCAGCGCTATGCATTTGTAATTCTTCACTCTGTTCTAATTTTTCTTTTTTGATTTTTGCAACAGAACATAGCCCATGTGAAGCCAATTATAATAAGACATAAAACATTTTTTATATAAGTTTTGTACCTTGGAAGTAGTGTTTCTAGATGTATTTTTATATCCCAAAGATTATGTTACATAGGTCATTTTTATAGTTATTCCTCATAGAGTGTTTACGAAAAAATATTAGATTTCTTGGTTGAAGACAAGTACGTTTGCAGGAAAGCTCAGACAATATAGTGATGGGGTACATTTCCAAAAATGTATATACGATGAAAATGTAGAATACGCAAAATTTGTTGTTTTTATTGGTAAAAATCTGTGATAATTAGTAATTATAAAGGTTTTTTAACTGTTCAATAAGGGTTTTTTAACTGTTGAATAAGGGCTTTTTAACTGTTGAAATTTCATGAATACAAGGAGACGAACAGACGTTCGTCTTATCTGCAAAACTAGCATTTCCTTTGACAAAACCAAAGCCAACATTGTGCATTCATTATTCGGATATGGATGATTGTAATATAGTATTAACATCATACTATGGGAATCAAATCGGCAGCTATATGTTTGCATATCCATGTAAAAGCTGTATTACAACTTGCGTTATAGGCCAGGGGCAGTTGATAAAAAATAAATGGAGCTGGTAATGTCATCAATAATTTTTGAGTGTAACTCTACAAGACGTTTTTTCGTATGTGTAGGTTTCTACACATTTTGCATGATTTGCATGTTGACACTCTACTACAAACTGCTTTTACTCCAACACAACTCATGCATTATATCTTTACTTATCGTAGTTAATATTGTTCAATATGATGAGCATATTTGGGGAGCTTTCTATTCTCCATATATCGGCTGTAAGGTTATATTCATCGTAATCTTAGTACGGTCTGGAACCATTCATTTGGCTTACTTCATTTTAAAAGTTCTGTACCCCAAAACATCAGATACATGTGGCTCCCCAGATATACCCATTGCATGTCCAAAAATAGCATATCCGTTGAAGTAGGGTGTTTGGATATTTACGTTGTTGTTAAACTTTCCTTTTGTATTTAGTTATAAATCAGTTCTCGAGGTTTACCCACGTTCTCCTTGTTCTATAGTTTCCATTGAATTCCAACACTCTATATATATAATGCTATCGATTCCGATATACGAGCCTTTCTATAATCACAATGTACAACTACATATATACGTATATCATGCTTCATATGAGTTAAAGAGTATCAACTTGATTTTTCGTCAAATTTAATCACTTACTTGATATCCAGTCAATACATTTTAAAAAAGTATAGAAAGGTTCGTTAACCTTAGGTTAATTTTACTATTTGCTAACCAAAGTATTAATTGTTGCTCCGATAAAATATTGATTCAAATGCATGTACCTACGCATGGTTTAATTTGTTGATTTAGCTTTAATATATATTTTTGTATGTTGTATATATTTATTTGACTGTTATAGTATTTGCTCTTGATGCTGTAATATTATATTTACATGAATGTTATAAAAATCATTCGCACATTTTAACTGTAATCAATAAATTATTCTTACCACAAATTTCTTTGATTTCCTTCTTCATCTAATGCATGGTTTCCTTACAAAAATCTAGAATGATGTAGTAACAATAGAAAAGTATATGATACTCAAGATTTGCATGTTCTGAAAACTTGTTTTTGCATAGAAAGAGGTGTTAAAAAGCATATACCCACGTTCAGATAGACAAAATAACAAGTAGGAAATGAATGTGTGTAGGTTTACTCATGGTATCAGAAAATATGATCTATAAAAGTTGTAGGCCAAAACATCAAATATTACGATATTTTATTTTTATATTTCATTTCTTAGAAAAATTGGAAAATGTATACATAACCGCGTGCTCTCTACTATCTAAACTGGAATAGGCAGCGTAAAAATGGAAAACCCGCATTCAAAAATATTGTAAATTTGCTCCGTATTATAGTTGGAGACCAAAATAGAAGAATAAACTTGTATTCAAAAATATTTTCTACCTCGGCGCTTCAAGATTTTTCTTCATTTGTGGGGAACAATCGAGATGCCGCAGAAACCTTGTGAGGAATGCATTCCGGTTGTTTTTTTTTTTACTTTCTGTGCCAAAAGTGTCGAGAAAGTATTGTAATTGTGAAAAATTTCGAAATTGAGATATGTTTTTTGGATGCTATATGAAATGTACATCTCGAAAAACAATGTCACTCATTTCCGTCGGTCTGTCCGCTAATTTTATCACCGATATGGTAATTCTTTCACACGTACAGGGTGGCCCAAATTTGGATGGAGTAGTGCTCCTAGACACAGACTAATAATATACACGCCAACTTTTCAGAATTTAAAGTAGAAAATGAATAGCCAAAAATATTCAACATCCTTCCAAAAGATAAACAAGGAATAGCAAATCCAAATTACTTCAAGTATTGTTTGAAATGTTTTTGAATACATGAATGCTTGTATGATGTGAGTTTATCAGTATGTAAATGTTGTTTGTCTCTGTATACATTCACAAGTCTAGACCAAAAACGTAACATCATATACAGGACCGCATTCTAAGGCGGGTCTTCTATGTAACATTTTTTCCTCGAGTGCTTCATTGAAAAGAAAAGTATAAGTATAAAAATAAAAAACAATTTTTTTAATATCTTCAACACCGTCAACTGCAATGAACTAAAATTTGGTATGTGGGTTTAACTCAGTATTGTCCACATTCAAAAGCCTTTACTTAAAATCAACGTAACCTTCAATTTGCTACAAATAATTACTTTTGTGTTTTTTTCTAGAGTGCACTGTTTTCGTAAAAATAAAAATGAAACAAATTAGATCATTCGCAAAGAGCCGAGATACAATTGGTTTCAAAATAAAATAGGAGGCCTTGATACCCACTTGACATTTCTTGCGAGATAGTTTGTCAAAGTTATGTGTTATACGGTTGTTATCGTTGCTACTAGCATTTTTTTTTTTTGTTAGAAGGTTTCTTTTTCCATTTTTGAGTGTTGTAAAATGGAATTTAGCAATGCTGAGCACGCCGATATTATTTTTGTGTACGGGTTCTGTGATGGAAATGTTTTAGGGAGTGTCAATGTAAATTTCATAACAGACGGCAACCTACCCCAAAGGTTTTTACGCGTTCATTTCTACGACTTCGGCAATATGGAATTGCCAAACTTCCCGGTGTTAGAGGCCATGGTGTCCGGCATACTGTCATGAGGAACTGGAAATGATTAATTTGGCGTTGGATGATCCTAGTACAAATACTAGGTGGATTGCAGCCCAGTTACCATGTTCCCAAAGTATTGCGTGGAGAATTTTAATTCGGGAAGTTTTCCATCCTTGCCATCGGCAAAATGTGCAATGTCTGCAACCCGGCGACGAAGTGCAACGGCGAGTGGTTACTGCAAAAGCATAATCAAAATGCAGATGTTACTGATTTCATAACCGCATGGTTAAATAATCATTTTAGACAACCATGGATTGGCAGAAACGGACCCGTTCATTGGCTTGCGAGATCTCATGATTTGAACCCACTGGGGCGTTTTAAGCAACTAGTGTATGCTGAACGAATTAATACCGTTGATCAGTCACAAGAAAGAATAGATAATGCGTTTCATCAAATTCAAGCCACAACAAATTTTGCAGAAATACGTGTTTCTTTATTATCCGTCAGAATGGTGGTCTTTTTGAAAATTTATTGATATAAAGTTTTGATTAACTAATTTGCTTTTTTATTAATACGAAAACAATGTACTCTAGGAAAAACACAAGAGTAATCATTTGTAGCAAATTGAAGGTAAAATTCGAAAAATTGCGCGTTTTGAAAAAAAACAGTGGCGTACTATTTTGATAATGGAAAAATAATGCCACTAATCGCACGTTAATTTTAAGTAAAGACTTTTGAATGTGGACAATACTTAGGTAAATCTACATACCAAATTTTAGTTCATTCCAGTTGACGATTTTGAAGATATTAAAAAAACTGTTTTTTATGTTTAAACGTCAACACAAATGTTACATAGAAGGCCTTAAAATGCGGCCCTGTGTTATGATGTTTTATTTTTGGTCACGACTTGTGAATCACCCTGTATAGCTGCCTCTATTTGCGATTTCTATACAAACTTTGTTTTTTCTAAAGAAAAATAAATTATTATTATATAAAATGAAGAAATGTGAGATATAGTTAATTGGCTGAAACCACGGATTTGACAACTTGACCCAAATAATCCAAAACTAAATAAACTTCGACTCTGAGGATGAAAAATATTTAAAATATTTTTATTCAAGGAAAAAACAATCGTATGAGTTATTGTTTGTGATTAATCAATTATAAATCAAACGGATTACCTTTTCATAGGTAAAACATGTATCAAGAATGTAACCTTGTGTGCATCGTCATACATTTGTTCATACGATAGAACATTATTCATACCAGAAAACATTTAAACGGCGCAGTAGGCCATCTGAATGTTGGTTTATGTTTCTGAGACACCTTTTCAATGAAATCAATATGTGACCTGACGTTTTCAGAGTGGACACTATGTAGCGTTAGCGGACTATTGTGCAGTTGGCAACAGTGAAGTGAATATGAAGGAAGGTGACATTGTTGAGTTGCTTAAAGTAGGCTGTGCTGGTTGGTGGTTTGTAAAGATGATAGGTGAGTTAAGACGGTATTTAACGTCGCATGTCCCTTTTTTCAACAGCCTGTCTGGAAGAGTATCCTTAATACTTCTCGTCTAATTGTTTTATATTGTGTACAAGGTCTGTCGCAAAGTAAACACGACTTTTGAACGATATCTGATACAAGTAGCACCACCTATTATCGGAGGCTAGCATCTTTCATTGATGCCCTGTCAAAATTTCCCGACAATTGAACCACTTCACGCGGAGTTATCGCGCTAAAAGTGACAGTACCTTTTTAGCATCGGAACAAAGAGGCAATATTAAGCTCTGTGTTAGACTTGGTGAAACATTTACTCAAACGCATCAGATGTTGATGCAAGTGTATGGTGATTATTGTTTATCTCGTAGTCGAGTCCACGAGTGGTTTACACGGTACTAGTCTAATCATATTAGACGAAAATACCGCTGGTTTGCGAAATAACTGTAAAGTCTGATTTTATTGATGCAAGTTGTTCAAGGGGGTATTTAAAACATGGACGCATAAAATGGGTACAACTTTTTATTCGACAACAAAGAATGAGGAAACGTGTGTTGGCAGGAACGAAAAAACTCTTCAAATAAGATTTTTAGGTATAAGGAGACCTACGAAAGAGATTCAACGTAAACAGATCCCACTAATAGTAAAAGAGTTATAACCGAAAACCGAGGAAAATGCAGATTTTGGCACTTGCTGCTAATGCGACAATAATTTCACGCAGCCACTTGAAATTCTTCAAATCCGTAGGCTTCATACTTCTAAGTAACCACAACAAAATTGGAGTCGATTGGTTAAGTAGTCTTAGAGAATTTCTAATGCTTATCCCAAAACACCGGTCTTCCGGCCATCACTACTAGTTTACTGAGCAATATACAGGGTTCGTTCAAATGGCATTTTATAGCAAAATACACGATTTTACCTTGCCGACATAAATCACAAACCATTCCGAAAGATAATTGTTGTTTTTATGCGCAAACGAAAGGTTACGTTTTTTTCTTCTAAACAAATTCAAACATTTCGTATTTGAGAGTAACTGAACAGATTCGCTACGATATTCGAAAAACATACGTTATTATACACATTTTAAAACAAAGCGGATGTGTCCATCACCTTTGGTTGCGAAGAAACGAATTTTGTTTCAAGATTTCTACATACTCTTGTGTATACATATTTAGAGCTGAAATTTTTACACAGTCACAGATGAGCCTCAAAGTTTATAAAAAAATATTTCATACTGAAATGCGCTGAAATGTTTATAAAGTCAGGACGCAAACTGAAGACACAATTATGTTTAAAACTGTCTCAGACTAGTTAGTATGTAGCATGTGCTAAATGGCTGCATTATTGATGACTCCATGACTTTGCCAAATAAGTAGACCACATAATCCAGTTTTTTACGAAGAAATATAATTCCCTGGACCTTTTTTTATAAAAGTATTAATATAGTACGTCTGTTTTCGAAATCTCGTACGATTAAAACGACTGCGAGTTCAAGATATTGGAAAATAAACTCGAGAAAACCAAAGAACAGTAGACATATTTCAACCAAGTGTAGCTTACTGTCGGTCTTCAAAACTAGGCAAAATGCTCGGTATTAGTCCCTTCTACATTATTTAAAGTTTCAGCATTGTATCTTGTATAGTTTTCAAGATTATTCTAATTCTTTATAATGTATTTGATATGTCTTCAACGTTCGCTTGACATTTGGAGAAATAAATGCTTTTCACATTATGTGTACTTTTATTGCAATCAGTTTTTCGTACTCCATAGAGAATGTAAGCTTGCAAACAGGAAACCAGCGGTAAACGTATGATTGTTTATAACTTTTTTTTATATTACTTGACACGTTAAGCGCCAAGGAAAATTTTAGAAGAATGTCCATCTGGCCAAAGTCCAGTTTTGTATCATTTGTTCTGCTTATGACTTACAGTCTGCAGAAATACGTTTGATTAATTTATTTATGATCTCTTTAATGCGTAAACTACATTTGGCCATGGCGGGACAGCGTTATGCCGACCTAGCGGCGTTCCAAAAGGCGTCGACGAATATTTTGAATTACATCCCAGTCAATGAGCAAAAATCATCATTCGAAAACCTTTTGGTCCGTGCAAATTCCTGTATCAATTCTGAAGTAGATTATTTTGAATAAAATAAATTCGACTTTCCGAAATAAAAAATGTTTGTTCATTTTTTGTCCTTATTACTGTGCGAGAGACCTTATATAGTGATGATAGAAAATCAATATTATCAGTTTCTTTTTTGTCAAAAAATGCGTTAATTTTTTTTACACCGAAGCAACCGCTGAGGCAGAAGTCTAAATGCCAGGGCACCTCGGTTGCTATGAGGATCCAAAAGAAATTTGTTAATCCTGCTTTTGAACTGCCTAAGTTTAGTAGAATTGGGAGAAGCCTCATCTCGTTTTGTTCCACAATCAAGAAAATCATCGGCTGCTTCGATGTAAAAAATTTTTTATGTGCTAGTGAAAGCGGGAAACGAAAATTGAATTTTTACCTACATATTTCGTATGTTTGTACCAGTTCTCGACACTTGAAATGTCAATGTTTTTCTTCCAGGAACTTCTGTGGAAGGCTGGGCTCCAGCTTCTTATTTGGAAAATTTTCAGTATAAAACATCCCGTAGTAATAGCAGTAGGAGTCAAGATAGATTTAACGAATAGTGCTCAACAGTAGTAGTTTTTTACAGAAACAAGGCAGGAGTTTTTTCAACGGAAACATTGTCTCAATATACATAAATATGTGATAAATCGATGAAATAATTAGATCGATAAAAATATCCATCTGCGCTGCGTTATAATGAAAACTAAGACTTAATTTTCACATTAATATTGAGACAATATATCAAGATGTATTGAAATCGGCATACGTATTAGTAATTTAACAAAAAAATGAGGGACTGATCCATAAACACGATTAAACTGTATTCAAGAATAGAATGAAAATTACATGCAACACATTCTTGAAATGAGGGCGATACCTGGCAAAATAATATAGTGTTATCTGTAACTGCAAAAGTGGATCGATTGAGATAACAGATGGCGCTTGTGCGGTCATAAACATCTGATAGAGGATACCTTTACTCTACTTCCATTCTTTGTCCGGTGCGGAGACCTAGATCGTTCTGATGATTGTCAATAAGCATGAGACAGTGCAGTAAGCAGTTGGCTTGTTAGACCAAATGAAGAAATCAGTATTATTGATATAGTGAACATAGTGACGTCATAATGTTGACGCTTTTAGAGCAGTACTGACGTACGCCGACCAACAAAAACGACACAGAAATGACGTTCGATATGACGGTCTAATGTTACACCCAATTGATGTCATAGCATGTCGTATAAAAGACCAAATACAAAGTCGCTATGACGTACAGACGCTCGCAAAAATAATCGCGCGGTGTATCCAAATGCTCCTGAAAAATTGAGGATGTGACAACGACGCCTCCCCCCCACAAGCAGTGAGTTCAAGAGTGCCAGAAAGGCGCCGAAACTCATATTCAACTTACCTACCACTCTTGAACCGTTTCGTTCCGAGACGTCGTTATCACCCCCGCAATTTTTCAGGAGCATTTTTACAAAGTGTATCGACCTGGTTGATAAAGATCTCAAAAACACCGTTTCATCTCAACACGTTCCAGTCTTCCGATGTTCCAGAATTTGTTTGTAGAAATTTAACAAAATCGCTTTGCTTTTTCACAGTAGGCCAAAACACTTCTTGTCACCTGGAGTTCACCCAAGCCTTATTTACTATGTGGCAATGAAAATAATATTCCAAACTTATTTCAGCTTCGGAAACAGGTAATAATCAGAACGTGCCAACTCAGGCGAATAATGAGGGTGTTTCATCAGTTCGAAATCCAAATCGCGAAGCTTTGTCATCGAAACGTGTGATTTGTGTGCTAGAGCCATACCTTACACAACTCTTTTGGAAATCTTTTCGCGTCGTTTGTGCACAATTTTGACAATAATGCTACATAATATTCTTCTGTTACGGTTTTGCCCTTGTCAAGGCAATCAGTGAAAATGAGACCACTACGGCTCCAAAACACTGAAGCAAGCCCTTTTCCAGAAGACTTTAGCACACGAAAATTCTCGGTCCTGGCGACCCAAGATTTTCACAGTTGATGTAATAAGAACATTTTATATAAATCAGCTCCGTAAAACATTTTAGTTTTTTTTCGAAAACTACGCTAGATTGCCTGTTTTTATAACAGAAAAAATGAGGATCTTGGGAGAGTTGCGAAAAAATTTATTTATGGGGGCCCTATCGGTTTTATTGTAAAAATCAAATATTGTGTTTTAAAAATAAAACGCGCCATCTAACGGGCAAACGAAGCACTTTTGCATAGAGGTGCCCAATAGTCCAATCGACTTACTTTGAGTCTAAAGTAAGAAGTGTCGAATTTATTTTACAGTCTCTCCTTGAATGCAATATATTGTTTATATTATTTTGCTGGAAACATGTCTTAACCAAAGTATTAATCGCATTGCTGCTACCAAGTATTGTATTGAGATGCGTGAATAAATTTCATATTTATCATCTCGGACTAAGAGTTTCTGAACTCTATTTAATTAATGTATTATAAGTACAAATTTTCTACCGCTCTGTGTTATGTATATTATTTTGAAACTGGGTTTATGTGTATATATTTATTTGATATTTTTGCTGTTGTCAAACAATTTTTCAATATTACATGATATTGCCAACAGGAAAATACATAATATGCTGTTCTCATCTATAAGATATACAAAATATCTACATATTTGTTAAATAAATATGTAACTGAAATTATTTAAAAATCAATGTCGTTTTATTTACCCTGTATTATAAGGATCGCTAATTGGAGAAAACTGAGGACCTCTTTTTGGTGAGTGAAAATGGTTGTAGAGATGGGTCAGCGTCGATGTTTTCTGGAGATGGGTGCAAAATGGGAAAGATAAAGCTACTCGGCTGCGTTCATAAATTATTACACGGTGTACTTTGTACTAGCCTTGGTAATTATTTGCGTAACTGTTACATGCGTTCGGAAATAGGAAAAAGTAATCCTTCTGGAACGACAAAAGTGTGCCTTTCTTCAGGAGCTCAAAACCTTTTGAATAAGAGTTCCGTCACTTGTCATTATCATGGTTCATAGTGTTTATTTTATGTGGTTATCAAAAACTGATCAAAATCGGCAGAATATATATTTTTCATAATAAATGCTACCTCGTATTCCAAGGGATATAATAACTACAATGGCCGCAGAAAACGTGGTTAGAAATTAGTCGGCTGTTGGAAAGTTTCACAGTATTCCAGAGTAAAATTTCATCTGTCAATGTACAATCAAAATTCCCCAAGGCCAAAAGACGTAAAAATCATGCAAATTTGGGGCAAAATTCCCCAATATAGCAAATGCACAGAGCACATAATAAGTATGAAGAAAGAGGGGACAGACTCCCAGCGTTGTACGTAGCATGGTCCTAGGCTCCATAATACTATATAGGTATATAGGATACCATCTTACTGGCGAATAGTAAAGTGTGCAAATATGGTAGTGTTGCCAGTAATTACTGGCAACACTGCCGATAAATCCAGGCGATAAATCCGTTGGAATGGAAACAATTTGATTCCACATTAATCCCAGCCAATGAGAGACCAGCCGCGTTCCCAGAAGAATGGGCGGGGCATGTCTGGTCAAGGAGGAAATGTGAATATCTGTATTCATGAAGTGACGTCAAGTAGATTAACTCAATATTTATTGAAAGAAATAAATATTCGATTCCAAGTTGCGAATTTGGAAAAATCAAATTGTTCATGTTTCAAAGATTCGCAGAAGTTTATTATGTGAAAGCTGGCGCCTGGTATGATCAAATAATTGCTTTCCTGGAAACATTTTGATGTTCGACATTTTCAAGTGGTATAACGTTCTGACTTGCAAACAAGAAGGTGTGTATGGAATTTTTCTCCACAAGCCTGCCTTAAGCAATTACTCATTTTGTAGGGTGAATGGATCACTAACCCGGCACTTTCGGTAGCCGGACAAATGTTATATTATTGGTAAAAACACGAATATTTGAAATCCTATTCAAGTTTACAAAAATTTCACATCCACAGTTCTCATATTGATAACAGTATTAGCGCGTTGAAAACAGCATGCATTCGTTTCCACATTTTTTTTTCATTTGTGTAGTGAGTTACATAAACTTTAAAGGCAAATAGAATCGTTAGCTAACAGAATATAAATACTGTTCTTGTTACATATGCAAAAGACATTCATAATTTACGAAATAAATTAATCTTAACATGTTATTTTAACATTTTGAGGTCAAATTGGAGTGGGCGTGGATCATCATACTAGTCAAAATGGTGTGGTCTCAATCTATATTTTTATCTTTAAACAGAAACTATCGAACTTTTCTGTTGGAATTGAACTAACCAAAATTCGACTGAAGCCCCAAGTCAGTGCACGGACAGCGAAAGATAATAAATAATGCGGATTATGGCCAGTAATATTGTATACGACTACTGGAATTAAACGATTTTCCATAGCATCCAAATAACCGGCCACTTCACATTTCCACTTCATTCACCAAGAAAAAAAAATTCTGTATATACAGGGTGTTCGGGAAATAATATTCGTAACTTTAAGAGGTGATTCCTTGCACTATTCGAAGCAAAAAAGTTCATTAAGTATAACTTATGTCCGAAAATCAATCGTTTTCGAAGAAAGTGAGTCGTAGATAATTAAATTTTCTCAAACATTTGGCAACGCAACCGCGATACGAGCGCATGGCGACCGCAACTGATTCATTAAATTGTTTACGTTTGTATGATATTTTTGTTGAAAATATGCCTGGAATTATTGAATAATTTTGCGCAATTTTTTGTGGCTAATATTTTTCATTTAATAACGCTTTCAGTACAGTACGTTTACTTATGTTTACTTACTTATTTGAAACGATGCGATGCGCAAAAAAAGAAAAAAACAACATCCGTAAATCACAAAGTTGCAGTTGAATGTATTAGTAATCAAAACAGGCGATGATAGGTACATGCAGTGCAGGCGGAGTACGACGTTGCCAGTTGTGTAAGGGATTTTGTTTGATTGTTTTTCTTCGGAAAATTGTATTTAATAAGCAAGAACATTATTTTGTTAGAGACAGATAATTAATAAATAGATGTATTGATACATTTTATGCTATTAGGCATATGAATTTAAATTATTATGGTGCAAAATTAATTTATTTCATGACTAAAAAGAAATAAGTTCAGCATGTTTTTGCTCCGAAGCGGTTGATTTTTGGACATAGATTATAATGAACTTTTTTGCTTAGAATAATGGAAGTAATCACCTTTTAAAGTTACGAACATTATTTCCCTAACACCCTGTATAGTACAGACAGTCGAAGCTGTGAGAAATGTTGAGAAATTGCTTCACATATGTAAACAGCATGGTAGTCCAAAGTCGACAGTGCAGGACCGGACTAAAAGAAAACATTGGCTTCTTGTTCCCTTTTACCTAATTTGCATATATTTTTGATAAACACATCTATATTGAATGGACTCAGTATGAGCGTATTTAACTTCTTTTCCTCAAAGTCTTAAGGTACGTTTATACTAGAGATTTTGTTCCTTACATTTCTCTTTGCAATAAAGTATATCAAATGTAAACCTTGGTGATAGAAGCTAGCCGAGATTCATTCAAATAGCTGGGAGAAAATGATCGAGACAAAATGTCGTAAAGGTAAACAACGCTGAGACAAGTATCAACTAGTTTCTGATAGATCTCGCAGGAGTTGGCCGGCCGTCTACTTTTTAGCAGTCTCTCGGGATACTTTGTGCTGTTTATTTTACGTTTTTAATGACAGTTGATTTGAAATTTCTAGTCTACAATCACAAATCTTTAAATACGGTTCTGTCTAAAACTGGCTAATCAAATGCTGTCTGACAATTGGAAACTAGCTGGCCGACTAGTAGCACCTTCTGTCCGAGTACTAGCAAAATATTACCTTTTTGATTAATATTTTTTTATAAAATTACAGGAATATCTATAAGCGATGTATTTGTTGTCGGCGAAAAGTTAACAACATATAGGTATGATCACCTCCAAAAGCATCAGTTGTTATCTTGAATACAAAATTCGTAACTACACTTTGTATTCCACTTTTGTCTAAATTCTCCGACCACTGGCTCATTCACCCTACACAACTTTGCCCCCATTCAAGCGACTTCGTATCTCTTGCCGTTTCCAAGATACCAATGGTGAAATTCGAATTTGAAACACCTGGTGTATGCTTGCAGTAAAAGTCCAAAAACAAATATTGGATGTCTGATAAGTATCAAGAAGTCATTTTCACCCGTATACTTTCCTGATAAGCGCCCACCCCAATGTATATACCCCTTATGATTTTCGGATATATCATTTTACAATTTTGAGATAAACTGATTCTATGTACACTACAAGCAAATTTAAAAAAAACAGTGCACACCCTGTAATAAATAGCACTTACCATTTTCCGCCATTTTTGTATCGCGAAGTTTTCCTTCATTCTTCCCGTAATCCAAAGGTACAAACGTGCAAATCACTACAAAAACTGACAAACACTTAATCTACATGCCACGAACACACTTTTCCGGGTGCGGCCGAATTTTCCATTTGAAAAGACTGAAAATAACGCTCCCGAAAAGTCCGTGTAAGAGCACCGCGAAGACTGTTTAAAAACAACTGCAACATTGCGTATCAGACTATAAACGTTTTTCTAGGATTCGAAGTTGGCCGAGACCCGAACTCAGTTCGGAGAATTCTTCCAGACCTGTTTGTATTAGCAAGAGGGCAATTTCGTTTATTTTAATTATTAATATCTGTTATACGAGTATCAGTTGCATGATGACAAAAATATATATAAATCATATTGTGATATTCTTCCTTTGTAAAATATTCTGTTTCAGTTTCTAAATGACAGATTAACTACATATCAATTAAATAAGGATCATTCCAAAAAAAAAAATACTGAAATTCGGTCTTACAAAAGGTATCAAGTAGGCTGACTCTGCATCCTACTTGAAGTTGAATGAATTTGTTGCGTGCTGGTTTTCGTTGAAGTCTGTCATAGTCCAGTCATTATTGATAACGATATAATGATGAATACAGTGTAAAACATAAATAACAATAAATAGAACATAAGTATAGATTTAAAAAAAATACGTTAAACATCCTACAACATTAACAAAGAAACTACAAAGGAAAAAATCTCAAACACAATTAGGAAAGGAAAGAGGAAAGATTAAAAAGTGTCATTCAAAAACTCTCTACAGCTATAATATACTTTAGTCAGAAGCAGTTCAGAATTTTTTTTCTTGTATAAACAATTCGCATGAATTGATTTAATCCTAATAGGCAATTTATTGTAAATTGAAATACAGTTGAAGATGATTGAAGTTTCGAATTTGGCTGTTCTGTGCATTGGTGTTTGCAATAAATTGCGATGCGTCGTGTTTAGATTATGGCACGTAGCATAGACCTCAAATTCCTCCCAGTGCAACCTAACGTACATAAGACAGTTTAATATTAAATACTCGTACATGGTACAGTCAATACACGGTCTCTGATAAATGTCGGCTTACAAGACTCTCTAGGGGTAAGATTAAACA